ATCTATAAGGCATTATAACACCTAGCCCTATCTATAAGGTATTATAACTCCTAGCCCTATCTATAAGGTGTTATCACTCCTAGCCCTATCTATAAGGTATTATAACTCCTGGCCCTATCTATAAGGTATTATAACTCCTAGCCCTGTCTATAAGGTATTATAACTCCTAGCCCTATATATAAGGTATGATAACTCCTAGCCCTATCTATAAGGTATTATAACTCCTAGCCCTATATATAAGGTATTATAACTCCTGGCCCTATCTATAAGGTATTATAACTCCTGGCCCTATCTATAAGGTATTATAACTCCTAGCCCTATCTATAAGGTATTATAACTCCTAGCCCTGTCTATGAGGTATTATAACTCCTAGCCCTATCTATAAGGTATGATAACTCCTAGCCCTATCTATAAGGTATTATAACTCCTGGCCCTATATCGCAGTGCTAGCTGTGCCACTAGAGATCCTGGTTCGAATCCAGGCTCTGTCGTAGCCGGCCGTGACCGGGAGACCAATGGGGTGGCGCACAATTGGCCCAGCGTCGTCTAGGGTAGGGGAGGGAATGGCCGGCAGGGATGTAGCTCAGTTGGTAGAGCATGGCGTTTGCAACGCCAGGGTTGTGGGTTCGATTCCCACGGGGGTATAAAAAAAATAATAATGTAAGTCGCTCTGGAGAAGAGTGTCTGCTAAATGATGTAAATGTAAATTTTTTAAATATAAGGTATTATAACTCCTGGCCCTATCTATATGGTATTATAACTCCTGGCCCTATATATAAGGTATTATAACTCCTGGCCCTATCTATAAGGTATTATAACTCCTGGCCCTATATATAAGGTATTATAACTCCTGGCCCTATCTATAAGGTATTATAACTCCTGGCCCTATCTATAAGGTATTATAACTCCTAGCCCTATATATAAGGTATTATAACTCCTAGCCCTATATATAAGGTATTATAACTCCTAGCCCTATCTATAAGGTATTATAACTCCTGGCCCTATATATAAGGTATTATAACTCCTGGCCCTATCTATAAGGTATTATAACTCCTAGCCCTATCTATAAGGTATTATAACTCCTGGCCCTATATATGAGGTATTATAACTCCTAGCCCTATCTATAAGGTATTATAACTCCTGGCCCTATCTATAAGGTATTATAACTCCTGGCCCTATCTATAAGGTATTATAACTCCTAGCCCTATCTATAAGGTATTATAACTCCTAGCCCAATATATAAGGTATTATAACTCCTAGCCCTATCTATAAGGTATTATAACTCCTAGCCCTATATATAAGGTATTATAACTCCTGGCCCTATCTATAAGGTATTATAACTCCTGGCCCTATCTATAAGGTATTATAACTCCTAGCCCTATCTATAAGGTATTATAACTCCTAGCCCTGTCTATGAGGTATTATAACTCCTAGCCCTATCTATAAGGTATGATAACTCCTAGCCCTATCTATAAGGTATTATAACTCCTGGCCCTATATCGCAGTGCTAGCTGTGCCACTAGAGATCCTGGTTCGAATCCAGGCTCTGTCGTAGCCGGCCGTGACCGGGAGACCAATGGGGTGGCGCACAATTGGCCCAGCGTCGTCTAGGGTAGGGGAGGGAATGGCCGGCAGGGATGTAGCTCAGTTGGTAGAGCATGGCGTTTGCAACGCCAGGGTTGTGGGTTCGATTCCCACGGGGGTATAAAAAAAATAATAATGTAAGTCGCTCTGGAGAAGAGTGTCTGCTAAATGATGTAAATGTAAATTTTTTAAATATAAGGTATTATAACTCCTGGCCCTATCTATATGGTATTATAACTCCTGGCCCTATATATAAGGTATTATAACTCCTGGCCCTATCTATAAGGTATTATAACTCCTGGCCCTATATATAAGGTATTATAACTCCTGGCCCTATCTATAAGGTATTATAACTCCTGGCCCTATCTATAAGGTATTATAACTCCTAGCCCTATATATAAGGTATTATAACTCCTAGCCCTATATATAAGGTATTATAACTCCTAGCCCTATCTATAAGGTATTATAACTCCTGGCCCTATATATAAGGTATTATAACTCCTGGCCCTATCTATAAGGTATTATAACTCCTAGCCCTATCTATAAGGTATTATAACTCCTGGCCCTATATATGAGGTATTATAACTCCTAGCCCTATCTATAAGGTATTATAACTCCTGGCCCTATCTATAAGGTATTATAACTCCTGGCCCTATCTATAAGGTATTATAACTCCTAGCCCTATCTATAAGGTATTATAACTCCTAGCCCAATATATAAGGTATTATAACTCCTAGCCCTATCTATAAGGTATTATAACTCCTAGCCCTATATATAAGGTATTATAACTCCTAGCCCTATCTATAAGGTATTATAACTCCTGGCCCTATCTATAAGGTATTATAACTCCTGGCCCTATCTATAAGGTATTATAACTCCTAGCCCTATCTATAAGGTATTATAACTCCTGGCACTATCTATAAGGTATTATAACTCCTGGCCCTATCTATAAGGTATTATAACTCCTAGCCCTATCTATAAGGTATTATAACTCCTGGCCCTATATATAAGGTATTATAACTCCTGGCCCTATATATAAGGTATTATAAACTCCTGGCCCTATCTATAAGGTATTATAACTCCTGGCCCTATCTATAAGGTATTATAACTCCTGGCCCTATATATAAGGTATTATAACTCCTGGCCCTATCTATAAGGTATTATAACTCCTGGCCCTATCTATAAGGTATTATAACTCCTGGCCCTATCTATAAGGTATTATAACTCCTGGCCCTATATATAAGGTATTATAACTCCTAGCCCTATATATAAGGTATTATAACTCCTGGCCCTATCTATAAGGTATTATAACTCCTAGCCCTATCTATAAGGTATTATAACACCTAGCCCTATCTATAAGGTATTATAACTCCTAGCCCTATCTATAAGGTATTATAACTCCTAGCCCTATATATAAGGTATTATAACTCCTGGCCCTGTCTATAAGGTATTATAACTCCTAGCCCTATATATAAGGTATTATAACTCCTGGCCCTATCTATAAGGTATTATAACTCCTGGCCCTATCTATAAGGTATTATAACTCCTGGCCCTATCTATAAGGTATTATAACTCCTGGCCCTATCTATAAGGTATTATAACTCCTGGCCCTATCTATAAGGTATTATAACTCCTGGCCCTATCTATAAGGTATTATAACTCCTGGCCCTATCTATAAGGTATTATAACTCCTGGCCCTATCTATAAGGTATTATAACTCCTGGCCCTATCTATAAGGTATTATAACTCCTAGCCCTATCTATAAGGTGTAATAACTCCTAGCCCATCTAATCTGTAAGGTATTATAAATATGTCAAATGAAGGGTAGGACACAGTTTCTTTCAAGTTGAAACTTCGTATTTAGTTTTATTTTTCCTTTGAAAATCACAAGTTAAACTTTGCGCTGGTTCTTCAGATACCCATCACACAGGTTCTTGAGACGTGACACTAACACCAACCACAGATGTCTATACCACCGACACAGACACAATGTTCCATACACCCACACACAGACTGTTAGTGGAACGGACGTGGTCTATGGTAACACTCTAGCTAGCCGCCCACATAAAAAGAGGTCCATACTAATCAAACCGCTGACAACCCAAAGGAGGGACGCAAATTAGAGTCATCTTCAAGCCAAGTGAGCGGCTGAACGATGAAACGCGGCGCGGCTCGTAGCGGGACAGCATCAAAGGCACCCGCCCCGACCCTCACCACAGGCAAATGCTGACCGCAGGATTTACACTGCCAACAACATACGTGTGAGAGTGTGTGTGACCATGTGTGTGTGTGTGTGTTTTGGTGTGTGTTGGTGTGTGTGATTGTCTCTTTGTTGTTCATAAGTTTGCGGTGTTGTGTGCTTGTACTGTTGTGTGTGTTGTCATGTGTGTGTGTGTTTGTGTGTGTGTGTGTGTGTATGTCATGGCCCAGCCCACTCCATACACCCGTACAGCACAATGGCCCTGAGATCTGTCAGCCAGCTGAGGCAGAGCGGAGCGGAGCAGGATGACATGGGACAAATGGGCGGCGCTCTTTCATCCCATCCCTCCATCAGCCTTTGATGTCCTTTGATTAATCTGGCCTCCACTCACTCACTCCTCCCATCTCTCCCCCCCCTCCCATCCTCCCCTCCCTCCCCTCCCATTCCTCCCCCTCCCATCCCTCCCCCTCCCATCCTCCATCCCCTCCCAGGTATTGTGTGTGGTTATGAAACCCTTTTCTCCCATTGTTTCAGGCAGAAAACAATTGAAAACTAGGTCAGTAGGGTATGCAGGGCTGGGCAGGGGAGAGAAGGGGTTCCCAATGTGGTAGCACAGACAGACGGACTAAAGACAGACACTTCAGTCAACAGAGAATATTCAAGCAGAAACATCTTGTCTGTGCAGGACTGGAGCGGGTCATTGTTAAACATCTCATTAATTATATCTTGATAATTATTAAACATTTAGTATAATGCTTTAAAGTACTTAAACTTATACTTAAAGCTTTAAAATACTTACAAATACTTAAACAAATATTTAGATGGAGGACAGGATACAACTGAAGAGGTTAGCAACATTTTCCAAAACTACAAAGCAATATGGGGATGAAAGCTTGTTTGCTTATTAAGTGATGTAATGTTGCTTTTGTGATAATGAAGTTTAATTCAAACTCTGAAAACATAGCTTTTAATATTTGTTATTAGGAAATACAATGACAAAATCACCACATTTAACATGAAATACTGTATCTTCTCTTTATCCAAAACTATCTTTAAGACAAATTAGAAACATCTAATATTTTACTTCGAAGGATTCTTCATTGATCCTTTTTATAAACTGGAGGAAGGATAGTTTAATAGCAAAATATTCCTAATACAGGCCATAAACCCAAGGGATGCATCTTAAAAGTGTCTTCCTCTCCTTGTCTCCTCTCTTTCAGTGGTTCAAAGGCAGTGCAGACTGAGGAAAGGAGACAAGGAGAGAATGCCACTTTAAACTATTGAGATGAAGCCTGTGTCTTAAAACAGAACAGTCTCTGGCTGCAATGGTCAGTATCTCTGGTTGGTGAGGCTCTTGTCCCCTCCCCCCCATCTCCCCCTCCCCCAGAGGGTCCATGTCCAGGGTGGACGTGGATGGGGTCAGAGAGAGAGAGAGAGAGAGAGAGAGAGAGAGGGAGGGAGGGACAGGGGCAAGAAAGAGAGAGAGAGAGAGAGAGAGAGTAGGACAGGAGCGGAAGAATCTGAGGAGAAGGAGTAAGGAGAGAGAGAGGATGAGAGAATCGAGAAGAGAGGTGATGGGAGGGAGGGACAGGACTGAGCGAGAGAGGGATGAGGGAGGGACAGATCCAGCGAGAATGAGACGAGAGCGATATGAGCGACGAACGATCGTAGATATGTAGCAGGAGTGAAGGCGTGAGAGTAGGACCACCATCTCGACGAGCAGAGATGCGCCGTAGCGGAGTGTGAGGAGGTGGACAGCTGGGTTCAGGAGAGCTCGAGAAGCGAGGGCACGAGGATCTCAGGGAGAGACGAGAGAGATAGAGAGAGAGAGTGATGAGTGAAGAGAGAGAGAGAAAGGGGGCTGGAGGGAGGGACAGGAGCGAGAGAGAGAGAGAGAGAGAGAGGGAGGAGGAAGAGAAAGAGGAGGGTCGTACATCAGAGAGAACACCCAATCTTTTCTGGTAAAGATGGTTCTATTTCCATTGTAGATTGGATAGATGAGGTCACTTCCTGTGTATTCAGACAAGGTTCCTTTGTAAGCCAGGCTCTTTACCTGTATAACCCTATAACCACCTGGAGGGAGAGGCTAAAAACTGAGATCTGGCTGAGACCTGAAGGATGTGAAGACCCCAAGGAGATGTTTAATATTCTGACTAAGCTCTTTAGTTGTTCCGGTTGCAGCAGATTGATCATCTGAAAAAGTGTCTGGAGCGGCTCCAAAGAGGACAACCTCCAGTTTCCAATTCGTCGGGAGACACAACCAAGTGGAACATACCACCAGACGGTAGCCCTAAGCCAAGGTGAGCGACCTGCAGTCACTTGAGAAGAGGGCTTAGTAAAGTAATGTAGTATACAGCATAGTCTCTCGTAAGTGGTGACAGAGATTATATCTAACATAACCTGTATGAAGGTTATGCTATTCTATGCGCATTTCTATTGATGCATTTTTGTATCTCTGAGTTTGTGCTGTTAACCACAGCTGGTCAACCTGGCTGTCAACCTACCCTATTATGTTGCGATGCTTTTTTGTTAGGTGGGTGACCCCACAGCTCGTAGGGAGGGTAGCCAGCCGCTCAACTCCATCATACATCGTGGAGTTGAGTATCATATCATACTAAATGAAGGGTCACAAATGTATTTCCTACATGCTACGAATTGCCCCGAGGCAAGGTTGATACTCAAGGTTACATCTTTGAACCTGTATTCCCGTTAACCTAACAACCATATCAGGTGCAACACCTGCCAGTACCAATATAAACACATACTGTCCCTGTTACCATGGTTTCTTCACAGTACCTCAGGCTTAGACTGTCGAGACTTAAAGGTCAGTGAATGTTTGAGTGATAGTTGAAAGTGAGTTCCAGGTAGGCATGTTCTATACTGATTAGACCTATAGGTCAGTGCAGTTAAATGAGCTGATGAGTGTATATGGGAGAATCTATTGTGTTTCCTTGATTCCTCGCATCCTCTCTCGTCGCCTCCTTCTTAAAACCCATTGGATGAGAAGGTCAGAGGTCCCTCCCCTGACTGTGTCTGACTGTGACCTGTTGAGGAGAGGCAGACAGACAGACCCAGATCATTTGCTCTCCTGGCTCTGTCAGCCATTATCTTGAGTTATGGGCTACAGTCAGAACCAATTGCCTGGACACAGAACAGACAGCCTGAATTATGTCCACCACAGCAACTGACCCAGGAGCTGTGTTTCTGTTTGGTTTATAATGGTGATAGGTAAGGATGGGATATGTAGGGCTGATTGTAGATCAATAACAGACACACATGTTTATCTTTGCATAATTTCTGGTTTATTGGTAAATAACTACTGGGAACTATACTTGTACAACTTCAAAGTTCCAATGTTATCGATATATACACTAATACTGAATGAATAAGCATTATTTACATTTACATTTTAGTCATTTAGCAGACGCTGTTATCCAGAGCGACTTTACAGTTAGTGCATACGTTTATTTTTTTCATATTGGCCACCCCCTGAGAAACGAAACCACAACCCTGGCGTTGCAAGCGCCATGCTCTACCCACTGAGCTACACTATTCTGAATGAATAAGAATAATATTATTTATGTTCATAATGTCTTCCCTGTCAGTGAATCCTCATCAATCATAATAGTTGTCCTTACAGTAAAGGGGGGTGAGTCACTTTTTGCTCAATCAGATAAGTAACAATGTTTGTGTGTGTGTGTGTCAATGCACGCACACGCTCTGCACCGTCCGTAATGCGCGTGTGGATAAATAGGAGCTGAGGAGCAGAGGGTCCATCCATTACTGGTTAAAACCCAGGGTTAACAACCAGGTTCACGTTTATTGTCATGAGTCTTGTCCTGGAGGCAGAGCTGAGCGATTTTCCCTTAGCTAGATAGATAGGCCAGCTGCAAAGTCAAAATTGGCTATTTTGCAAAAATTCATGAACACAAAAATATCCTTTTTGGTCTGAATTTAAGGTTAGGGTTAGGTTTAAAATCAGATGTAATGACTTTGTGGCTGTGCCAGCTAGTGAGCACTGCAGAGCTGCCTCCAGAACAAGATTCATGACAAAAAACGCTAACCTGCGTTTAACAACAACCGAAGAAAAATGTGTAGTGGGATGGAGTGATGCAAAGCGCCGAGAGAGGAACCGGAGAAAAACAACGGGACCGCGGTGACCACAGAGAAGCAGGAAGCACGGTAAATTAATGCAAGGCAATGTATTAATTTAGCATTTTATAAAGTTTTTTTTTTAAAGGAAATATCTTGCAGTAGCCTGTAGCCTACTCCCTTTGTATATATATCCCTGCAGTTACTTTCCACACAATAAAAACAATCAGCTCAATATGAATGAATCATTTAGCTTTTTCTGTTTCATGTTTAGCCTACTTGCTCTGAGTTTTTGTTTATATAATAATGCACATATACGAACAAAAATATAAACGCAACATGCAACAATTTCAACGATTTTACTGAGTTACAGTTCATAGAAGGAAATGAGTCAATTGAATTAAATTAATTAGGCCCAAATCTATGGATTTCACATGACTGGGCAGGGGCGCAGCCATGGGGGGTTTTCCCCCAAAATCAGAATGAGTTTTTCCCCCCAAAATGACTTTATTACAGACAGAAATACTCCTCAGTTTCATCAGCTGTCCGGTTGGCTGGTCTCAGAAGATCCCGCAGGTGAAGAAGCTGGATGTGGAGGTCCTTGGCTGGCAGTGGGTGGGCCTATGCCCTCCCAGGCCCACCCATGGTTGTGCACCTGCCCAGTCATGTGAAATCCATAAATTAGGGCCTAATTTATTTATTTAAATTGACTGATTTCCTTCTATGAACTGTAACTCAGCAAAATCTTTGACATTTTTGCATCTTGCGTTTTATATTTTTGTTCGGTATATGTGCATTAATATATAAACAAAAACTCAGAGCAAGTAGGCTAAACATGAAACAGAAAAAGCTAAAAGGATTCATTCATATTGAGCTGCCATGTGTTTGTTGTTGATACCGTTCCCCTCATTCCACTCCAGCCATTACCACGAGCCTGTCCTCCCCAATTAAGGTGCCACCAGCCTCCTGTGATTTGTAGGTTATGCATTCAGATACTTACACCTTAGAAGGATAAAGGATCTCTACCAGAATACAAATACTCTTTACTTGAGAATACCTAATTCCCTTTTAACATAATGGTCTAGTCTTGTAGGATGGGGCAGAGGACTGAAGCTAAAGTGATTAGGTTTATTGCCTTTGTTAAATGGCTTTCACATAGTGTAAAGTTGTTTTTATTTTATTTGACAATTATATAAACATTACACCAGGCAACAGATACAGTTGAAGTCGGAAGTTTACATACACCTTAGCCAAATACATTTAAACTCAGTAAAAATTCCCTGTCTTACGTCAGTTAGGATCAACACTGTATTTTAAGAATGTGAAATGTCAGAATAATAGTAGAGAGAATTATTTATTTAAGCTTTTATTTATTTCATCACATTCCCAGTGGGTCAGAAGTTTACATGCACTCAATTAGTATTTGGTAGCATTGCCTTTAAATTGTTTAACTTGGGTCAAACGTTTTGGGTAGCCTTCCACAAGCTTCCCACAATAAGTTGGGTGAATTTTGGCTCATTCCTCCTGACAGAGCTGGTGTAACTGAGTCAGGTTTGTAGGCCTCCTTGCTCGCACATGCTTTTTCAGTTCTGCCCACAAATTTTCTATAGGATTGAGGTCAGGGCTTTGTGATGGCCACTCCAATACCTTGACTTTGTTGTCCTTAAGCCATTTTGCCACAACTTTGGAAGTATGCTTGGAGTCATTGTCCATTTGGAAGACCCATTTGCAACCATGCTTTACCTTCCTGACTGATGTCTTGAGATGTTGCTTTAATATATCCACATAATTTTCCTTCCTCATGATGCCATCTATTTTGTGAAGTGTACCAGTCCCTCCTGCAGCAAAGCACCCCCACAGCATGATGCTGCCACCCCCGTGCTTCGCGGTTGGGATGGTATTCTTCGGTTTGCAAGCCTTCCCCTTTTTCCTCCAAACATAACGATGGTCATTATGGCCAAACAGTTCTATTTTCGTTTCATCAGACCAGAGGACATTTCTCCAAAAAGTATGATCTTTGTGTGCAGTTGCAAACCGTAGTCTGGCTTTTTTATGGCGGTTTTGGAGCAGAGGCTTCTTCCTTGCTGAACGGCCTTTCAGGTTATGTCGATATAGGACTCGTTTCATGGGTAATGTGTCCACTTTGTGATTTGGTTTTAGGCAGGTGCAGGTGCTGGTCTATGGGCTTTAGGTTTGTATTCCAGGTTGGACAGGGCTTGATTACATTCTAACGTCATTAATATAGGATTATGTCTGTTTAATTTATTCCAAGGGGGAATATATATAATGTGTCCTTCAATATTAACCAATAGGCATTAACCCTTCTGTCCACCCTCCCCTCTCCCCCCTTTCCAGGTGACCCTGACCCAGGCCTGTGAATACATCGAGGATGAGGGTTGACATGCGGGGCACCAACCTGCCGGGGGCACTGTCCTGGGTCTACCAGCAGCATGTTCATCATCACAGACTGCGGCGTCAGCAGTGTGGGCAAGGTGCTGGAGCTGGTCCGCAGGAACACCTGTGCTGCCAGGTAGGGTACTGTCTGATGGCAGCTGGTAGAATGACATCAGTAGAAATGTGAACATTTTAGCATTTACAACCTACTATTGATCAAAACTGATACTGTAGGTTCAACCATTATTATTGTGGCAATAACGTGTGTGTGTGTGTGTGTGGGCAGGAGGGTTGGTGGGTGTTGATATTCATGTGGGACAAAGTCTGTCTGTCCTGCCAGACAGAGGTAGCTGCATTTTGAGAAGACAACACTCTGTCTGTCTATTGGCCTTTTCAATTAGTCTGGCCTGTGGCCCTGGCAACCATGCAATTAGTGAAATGGCTTTTGATTGCTCTCAGTGTTGTGTTTAACACAGCTGTGTGTAGTTACTAACTCAGGTAAACTCCGGTTTAGATGTGGAAGGACACAGTTGGGATAAATGCGGAAGACACATTTCAGTTGAATGCATTCAGTTGTACAACTGACTAGGTATCCCCCTTTCCTTTAAAGACCCCCCCTCTCTCTCTCTCTCTCTGTATTAACTGAATAAGAGGTTATTTTGTTATTATCCCAGGTGCTTTGGGCTTGTCCTGGGCCCCCGAGCCTGCAGGAGGCTCCTACAGGGCGTTGCCAAGGTGACAGGTGGAACCACAGAGTTCTTGGGTGTGGAGGAGACTGCAGCCCAAGGTGAGAGAAGTGACATCACGGTAGTTGACAACACTGCCCCCTAGTGGGGAATGTAAATAATTTAACTTGGGTGAACAAATGGGGAAATACACTGTAGTATGCTACTGAGTACATACTCTCTACTCTAACCCCCAAATAATATTTATTCCCTCCTGTGGAAGAAAAAAAAATAAGCCATTGCTTAAAGAAAAAAATAAGCAAACACGTTTGGTGTTCACCAAAAGGCATGTGGGAGACTCCCGAAACATATGGAAGAAGGTACTCTGGTCAGATGAGACTAAAATTTAGCTTTTAGGCCATCAAGGAAAATGCTATGTCTGGTGCAAACCCAACACCTCTCATCACCCCGAGAACACCATGTTTTTCATCGGCAGGGACTGAGAAACTGGTCAGAATTGAAGGAATGATGGATGGCTCTAAATACCGGGAAATTCTTGAGGGAAACCTATTTCAGTCTTCCAGAAATTTGAGACTGGGATGGAGGTTCACCTTCCAGCAGGACAATGACCCTAAGCATACTGCTAAAGCAACACTTGAGTGGTTTAAGGGGAAACATTTACATGTCTTGGAATGGCCTAGTCAAAGCCCAGACCTCAATCCAATTGAGAATCTGTGGTATGACTTAAAGATTGCTGTACACCAGCGGAACCCATCCAACTTGAAGGAGCTGGAGAAGTTTTGCCTTGAAGATTGGGCAAAAATCCCAGTGGCTAAATGTGCCAAGCTTATAGAGACACACCCCAAGAGACTTGCAGCTGTAATTGCTGCAAAAGGTGGCTCTACAAAGTATTGACTTTGGGGGGGGTGAATAGTTATGCATGCTCAAGTTCTGTTTTTTTTGTCTTATTTCTTGTTTGTTTCACAATAAAAAATATGTTGCATCTTCAAAGTGGTAGGCATGTTGTGTAAATCAAATGATACAAACCCCCAAAAAATCAATTTTAATTCCAGGTTGTAAGGCAACAAAATAGGAAAAATGCCAAGGGGGGTGAATACTTTCGCAAGCCACTGTAAAGTGATAGTGATGATTCATCCATAGAAACATGCTGGGCTTCCCACCTTAAATTATAGTTTTTAATTAGGTTCAGTTTAAAAATGCTATTTACAGCTCTGGTTGTTGCTACTAATGCCTTTGTGCCCTGTCTACGAATCCCATGCCATATTTACCAGTGCAAAGATCATGTTAAAGCCATTGCATTAGATAAATGAAGAGACTTGATCATCTCTAAAGCTTTACTTTGATTTTAGTATATTTTAGTCACTGCTAAAATAAATCTTAGCTGAATAACCTATTAATAATATAATATGACTGGGCAGTATGTCTATAACTCGCATTAGTGTAGAATCAAATGACTGAATTACATTAAATTCTAATTTCTTTACACAGATATGCATTTTATTTTCTCTTTATCAACAGGATAAAACACCTTTGGAATAAATCTCCAATCTCTGTCTTCATGTGTAACACAAACACTCATGCAAATCAAACATACACTATCAACAAACAAATATGAGCACTAAACTATGGTAAACATCATCGATGGCAGCTAATTAGAAAAGTTCACACTTAAAGGGACAGTTCGGTACTCAGATTAAAGGGACAGTTCGGTACTCAGATTTTAGGGACAGCTCAGCAAAATATCGAAATACGTTATCTCACTGAACTATCTCTATTCTTAGCCTAAAATAAGTACAGTGCGTGTTTGGTCAAGGGGTAGGCTTAATCTAGGTGCGGGAAACGGGCCTTCTATTTGTTCTACTGCACACACCACACTGAAAACCAAAAACTATTTGAACATTTAAAAAAAACTAATCGACAGACATCCATGATTGTCAACAGCTTAGTTTTGCATGGTCATATTGTTATATGAAATGCCATTTATTATTATTATTATTATTATTATTATTATTATTATTATTATTATGTATTAGCCTATAGTAAGCCTTGTGCTTGCTAGGCTACGTAATTCCTATTGTACCCAATGGGTGGCACCAAAAGCTTATCGCAGAGGACGATTCAATTTAAAGCTTCATTAATAAGTAGTAGTAGAAATTCCCTGGTATGGAGTTAAGGACAAAAACATAGAAACCATCTTTAATATAATATGCCATTTAGCAGAAGCTTTTATCCAAAACGACTGAGTCATGCATATTATTATTATTATTTTATTTATTTTTTTACACATGGTGGTCCCTGGAATTGAACCTACTATCCTGGCGTTGCAAGCGCCATGCTCTAACAACTGAGCTACAGAGGACCAGGATCTTTACACCAACAAATAGTCCAGTAACAGAAGTTCAGACCAGCTGATCGCCAGGATGAGGAACTGCTGTCCTAACAGTTTGACTATTCTCTACTATCACCAAGACCAGTGATAATACTTAACACGACAAATCACGGACTAAAGGTAGTTTCGCCATTAAAAATACATACTGGAAGTAAGAGACCCTTCCTTAAGATATCTTATCGACGACACAGCAAAGCATTCAGCATTTCTCCTCACAACTAGACTCCCACCTTTATTATATTTCATTCTTTAACCTGAGAATCCTAATTGTTTTCGGCCTCCTCCCACCCCACAAACCTGCATGTGCCTGCCACATGCAGTCTCATGCAGTACCTTCTCCCACCTGTATGTTACGCTATACATTAGCACAGAGCTACAGCCAGATGGGCAAGAAAGGGCGAAGGGTGAGAAGCAGCCTGGGGTGAGAGCAGGGTGGAGATGGTCGACCAGACCCCCATGACGGGAGGATCCCCTAGGGGCTAAGCTCACTTGCTCTTGGCCTTGTCCTCTACCCCGGGGGCCGGGGCTGGGGGCTGGGCGGGGGCGAACCACAGGGAGAGTATTATGATGAGGTGACACACGTGGAGGGCTGCTGAGCTGTATGTGGTAGAGGGGTAGGTGTTCCAAGACAGCTCCACCAGGCCTAGGATCAAAACCCTGTCCACAGAAAGACCATGTTAGACATAACGTAAGGCTCATATTTTATGGTTCCTAAGTTCCTAATTCTGCTCCCAACATAGGCCTGAATTCTACATGGATGTCAATAAAAATATTTTTGAAAATGCACATCGCAAGTTAGGACACTGCCCATTTCTACACATTGCAGCCAAAAGGTATGTCCCATCCCCTCTTACCTGAGTAGGTGAGCCAGCTTCTTGACCCCTCCGCTCCAGAGAAGGAAAGGTAGGGTGTGGAAGTACCATACGTAGAACTGGTAGTGCAGCGAGCGGCTGAAGCACATGCCGATGAAGTTAGACGTGAAGAGGATCAGCACCAATTGTGATCGGCTGTTAAGGTCTAATATAATTGTCTTTTGGAACACTTCAACCCATTTCCACCAATAGTACTCTTAAGTGATATACTAGACACTGGGACTTTATGGCCATAGAGACAGACCTAATAAGTGTTAGAGATATACAAAACACCACAATGGTACAGTGTTTCTACTCATGGTTCCAGAGACACATACTGAGGAAAGGATATGATCTGAGGTGAGTTTCTGGGCAGGGATGACTCGCTTGCCTGGCTCCTTCAGCAGTTCCATGATGCTCTCTCCAGGCCTGAGGGGAAATTAGTTGGTTTAGTTAATCAGAAAGTCCGGTAACAATAAAAAGCAGAGATAGTCAGACTCAGCATTGGTGTGCTTGTCATTTAGGCTGTGTGGTTCAATTTAGGCTGCACTATGGCCAAAACTTTCGTCCTGACCATGAAAATCTCAAGTCCTAGTGATAACCCCAGTAGCCACCTCTCTCACCTCTTCCAGCGACGCAGGGCAAACAATAGCAGGGCTAGCAGGAGGGCAGCCAGGAGCACCAGATGGAAGTAGCGACTCAGGAAAAGCGTCCCATAGGCTGCATTTACACAGGCAGCCCAATTCTGATCTTTTGCCCTATTGTTGGCAAAAGAGCTGATCTGATTGGTCAAAAAACCAATTAGTGAAAGAAAGATCAGAATTGGGTTGCCTGTATAAAACGCAGCCATATTTGCCCACACTGAACTGAACCAAACTAAACTGATCGAGGCGGAGTTGAACTGAGCTGAGATAGGCTCCAGTTGTGCAGGACCAGGGTTCATACTTGCCTGTAGAGGCCACAGCCCAGAGTCCAGCGGCCGTCCAGGAACAGATTGACAGCCCCAAACAGCATCATCATGGCTACAGGGTCGTTGAAAAGACGCAGGACGAAGATGGAGTGGATCCAGTAGGAGGCACAGCACACATTTAAGGACCAAAGGATTGACAGCCGTTCCATATAGATTGCAAAATAGTTGGGAAGAGATTTTTGACATACCGATCCCATGGCATAGTGTTTATGAACTGATACGCAAAACGATACCGGATTCAAAACTTAGAATCTTTCAATTTAAATTATTATATAAAATTCTTGCTACCAATAGAATGTTATATATGGGGGATACAATCTTCCCAGCTCTGCAGATTTTGCTGCGAAGAGACAGAATCATTAGATCATTTGTTTTGGTACTGTCCATTTGTAGCTTGTTTTTGGACACAGGTTCAGGAATGGCTAAAGGATTGCAATATTTACCTGGAGCTAACCTTGCAGATAGCATTACTGGGTGATCTGAAAAGTCATAGTCAATCGATCAATAATATAATAATGCTTTTAGCAAAAATGTTTATTTTCAATTCACAATCTGTAGAAACAATGAGAATAGAAAGGTTCAGAACTTTTGTAAGACATCACAGTACAGTTGAAATATATATGGCAAATAGAAATCCTATATGGATGGTGTTAAGGGATAGATGGGAGGTGTTGAATGGAATTGAAGGATGGGACTAATAACAACTAACAACAAATAATAACAAGATAACTAATAATGTAAGCATACTGTGTCCATAATAAGTATATAGGTTGTAGGTTGGGAGCTTTTGTGAAAGAGCACAGTTAGAAATATATGGCATATAGAAGCAAACCGGATGGACATCATGAAAATGATCGGAGAGGTTGAGAGTCGAAGAAGTTCAGGAGAAAAAACAAACAAAATATAATTATTGTAAAATTGACTGTGTCCATAAAATGTAGATAGTAAGTATAAGCTGGAAGTAGAGGCCTAAGCATTGTTTTTCACTAGTTTACTCCAAGTAGGGAAAGGGTGGCGGGGTTGGAAAGTAATAAAGGGGAATATATATATTTTTTAAGGGTATATGCATGTATGTATGTATGTATGTAAAACATGGGGGATTGGAAGTGATGCAGACAATTACATTGATGAAAGTTACAATCTATCTGCAATATTAAGCAGATCTACATGTGGGGAGGAACCTGGGCCCAGATTCACAAAACACTTCTAATGCAAAAACTTAAGAAGCTTCTTAAGAAAAAAAATAAGAAGTTCATAAGATAGTTTGTAAGTGCAATTCCTCAACAATATCTTAAGATGTAATGATTTTTGAAGAAAATGGTTTTGTGAATGTGGGCCTTGGAGAGGAGGGCAGACAAACAGGCAGGCAGGCCTGCTTTTAAAGCAAACTGAATAGCCTTTTACAGTGCAGGATTTTCTTATGCAGAGATTGTTATAGGAAACTGAATATTCCAGTTCAAACTGTTTTTAGGAAACATAATTAAGTTGGGACTTGATACTCTAATATTGAGAGAGCAAACTGTAGATAAAGACTGTTCTCTGGGTAAGTATTTAGACCTAGCTGACCTTCTTGGTGCGGTGGTATATCCTGAAGACAACAGATAACAGCTACTGGGCCAGGCGGATAGTTGGTGATGTGTAGCTCAGTTGGTAGAGCATGGCGCTTGCAACGCCAGGGTTGTGGGTTTGATCCTCACGGGGGGCCAGTATGAAAATGTATGCACTCACTAACTGTAAGTCGCTCTGGATAAGAGCGTCTGCTAAATGACAACAACAACAAAAAATGTAATACAGCGCTGTGAAGGTGTACACAAATCCTGCTGGGTATCTGGAATGGTAGTTTCAGAAGTCAGTTTCAAGCCTGTGATTTTGTTCACGTCAAGATATGTCACACTGCAGGCATACACACATAATTGTCATGGGGTCCGGTGATGAGGACCTGGGGTGGCCAATCCAGGTAATGGAACCTGGTTCCTTAACTTATAAAGTGCCACCACGAATAGGTTAGTGTAACTTACACCAGAGGGCCTGTGCCTCCTTTGAGCTGGGTGTAGTCGTAGGTACCGTTGATGACTCCCTCTACCTCATCCATATACGCCTTCCAGTCGATCTCTGTGTCTGCACGAGAAGACATTCACCAATGAGTGACAGGTGGCATTGGCAATAACTTAAAATATGCATTCAACAAACTGGGTAAAAGATGTGGAAGGTACCTAAAGAATCAGGTGACGGAACAATCAAAAGCAACTACTGCTAAGAAGAAAAAAAAATCATAAACAAGAAAAGGGAAACTGTAGGAACTGTGTCAAAAGTACAGTAGACTAGATTAACAAGCTACCATCGTTGCTTTGAAATTCCAGGTTTTGTGTATCTTACACATTGTTGTGCTGGCAACAGAACTTGCCACAATTTCTGAAAACATATTTCATTCATACTAGGCAACATCATCACAAGGAAGGGAACGTAATCACGCTGTGGCTGTAAATTCACTTCGACAGGTGGCACTACAGAGGCTTGATGGCAAACTAGCTGTTAGCTAGCGAGCTATGTTAATTGCAATGCAGGGTCAATCTAACTGGCTAAACTGCTAGCATGCTACTAGTACTTACATGCTACTTTTTGTATGACCCATATGTTTATTCCAATCTCCAAGAACCACAGAACAGAGGCGACCAGTATTGTGTACTCCGCCTTGAATACGACCAAATGTTTCTCTTGCCATAGTGTACGAAGTGGCGTTCACACTCGAGACTGTAGACCAGGGGACTACTTTTTCTTCACACCTCCTGACATTTCGGCGCAGCTAGCTACGTGTAGAGGCCGAAACTTCGCCCGCAACACTTGTGTCACTACAACCCAACCAAAGACAGTACCAAATATTTGTTTATAACTGACAATATGTGACAGGACTTATTAGTACCCTGTCACATGATTCAGGAAAGCTTCACCCGAAGATGCGTGGTGGCTTCAAGGAAGTGGAACATGTCATGTGACCAAAACAAAAATAGCCATTCTTCCGGGGATGACAACTTGAGCATTTTCAAAGGTAAAAATGGACAATACTGATTGATTAAGTCAAATTTGACGTATGACTGTAGCAGAACAGTGCACAAATACTCTTGTCATGTTATGGTCAAACTTTTGCTGACATAGGCCACCTTTATGACTAAACAAATAATATATTTTAGAGGTCAATGGCAGGTCTTCCACTTCCAGCTAACGTTTGCTAACCAAATGTAATGTTTATTTCTAGCCACTCAGTGAGCCAGCCATTACTTTCATTTGTACTTTTAATATTTATAAGTAGCTAGCTATCAATGTTCAACGAGATATTTCGTTAAATGTAGTTCTGGGTCGGCTAACGTTACATCTTAGAACTGGCTTTACTGGTTCCTATGTATCTAAACTACTGGTAGTTCTAGTTAGCTAGCTAGGCCCAAAATAACATGTTCAACTCGATAATTGTATTAGCTAATCACCTTAGTCAGTAATTGGTATTTGAACCCAAGCACTGTCATCATATGACATAAAACATCTAGAAAGAGAGATGTATAGGTACCCCTTTTGAATCAAAAAGGTAGCTAAAAAAATGCCACCTACCCATATTGTAAATCATCAATGAAATAAAACAACTTTTCAACTTTGTTGTGCTTGTGGGTGAAGGCAGTTAATATGTAAATAGTCATGATTATCTGACTGAATTAGTGTAATACTAGAATTATTTGAAATCTATTTTCTTAGATTGTAAGTTAGGTTATATAACCCAATCATATGTGAATAACCCAACATTTTGTGTGACTCTTTGTATTCTGAGTAGCCTAATCCAGTTTACTGTCAAAGTGCTGAACAGAAATAGCAACCAGTCTTGTGCCACTTTGCTGTCATACATAAAATTATAGACATTTTCAAGCATTTCACTGAAAATCTCAAAGAGAATTCTGCAGCTGCGGATTTAATTGCAGCTTGTCAGAGTGATGCGTGGGCATCTTGCTTTCATGCTGAAGAACCTCCTTCATATTACATCACATGTTTGGCAATCTGTTTCTGTACTGTAGCCCTGTTACAAGGGAGGTGAGAAGAGACACTGTGGAGAGTGTGTTGGGGGGATGGAGGAGTTTCCAGTGAGGATGGTGGAGGGGCTGTGTCTAGGCACCAGCTTGGCCATATCAGGCCTCTTCTACTACATCTACAGGAAAAAGAGGAAAACGGTGGACAAGCTCAATGTTAGTAGCCGTGCCTGCCCTGCATCTGTTCCTTCAGACATAGGCCTAGATTCAATCCGTATCGCTGAAGATCCGCGCAATAGCTCGATCGAAATTTAAAGGCAATGTTTCAGCATTCGCGGAGACTGCATTCACGGTAGCCTACACGCTGCATATGTCAGCTCAAACGGAAATGACCTTTACATTTTAATCGCGCTATAACGCGGATCTTCCGCGATACGGATTGAATCACATTGTAAACAAAGTGCAAAACCATGATTTGTTGGAGACATGGGAATTTTCTTAGGAATGACAGGCTTTTCTTTTTGCTTGTTGTTTCAGGGGGCACCCCACATTAATTTGGATGGGAAACTGGCAGACCTTTTGAATGTGATTCCGGGAAAGTGTCTGCAGTATGTTGTCATCGAAGGTAAAGTTATCTTTGTGAATGTGTAACATTTCTGAATGTATCACTATGATCATATTATTATGATATTGAGTGGACCCTGTTCTCGCTCACCTACTTAGTTAGGTGTAATTAATGGCTCTATCCATTTTGTGTGTGTGTGTGTGTGTGTGTGTGTGTGTGTGTGTGTGTGTGTGTGTGTGTGTGTGTGTATATGTGTAGGGGCAGTGCAGCCTGTGGGGGAGCCTCTAAGGAGTCAGTACCAAGAAGGCAGTGTAGGGGTAGTGCAGAAACTCATGCTGAGGGAACACAAGCTGGTGTGGAACAACCTGGCCCACACCTGGTAGAAACACTCCTGACTGACACTCCAAATATAATGTATAAGACTAGTTTAATCTGTATCACCACTTTGTTATAAACTGTAATATGACTAGGACCGTCTGACATTTTAGTCTCAGCAGTAATACATCACTAATTATAACCTATCATATCACCACACAAAACACCTTACCCACTGTGCACCCCCTTTCCTGTGTAGGATGGACAGCGAGCGTGTGCTGCACCAGAGGGTGAATGCGGTGCCCTTCAGCCTGGTGGGGTCGGACCAGGCCAACGTGAGGGTGCTGTGTCCCCTGGAGGCCTCGGAGCTGAAGATGGACATCATCCATGAGAAGTTCCACCAGGCCACCTACGGTTTCACCGACATCGTCGGACAGTACCTCAGTGGAGAGAAGCCTAAAGGCCAGCTGGAGACTGAGGAAATGCTCAAGGTGAGATTTAGTTTGGTTTGATCATTTTTTAACATAGCCATATCACTGATATATTACCTCTTACTCATTCCTAAAATTCCACAATAAGATCCCAAAACGTTCCATTGTGTTTAGGATGAGGTCACCACTATTGCCCCTGAATAGTGAGCGTGTGTTGCTCGAAAGAGCATGAATAATCCTGACCAGTTTATGTCTGTCTGTATTTCTAGGTTGGTGCTACTCTGACGGGTGTAGGCGAGCTCATCCTGGACACAGGCCGGGTGATGAAGCTCCGTCCGCCCACCGACGGCTCGGTGTACTTCCTAAGCACAGCAGACTTTGAGACTCTGCGGCTGGAGCAGGAGGGCCAGGCGGTGGTCTGGCAAGTCCTGGCCTCTGTGTTCGCCCTGGCCGGGGCCGCCGTCCTCCTCTGGGTGGGCCACCGCTATTACCGTAGCCTGAGGGTCCGCTGGGACCAGGAACGGCTGAGGAGGGAGTTTGAGAGACTGAGCGCCGGGGAGACAGGGTCTGGGTCTGCGGCTGGGGCTACACAAGAGGGGTCTGGGGAGCAGGAGACGCCCCTGGAGAACGACTGTGTGATCTGCCTGACCCAGCCGCGTAGCTGTGTGCTGCTGGACTGTGGACACGTGTGTTGCTGCTACAGCTGCTACCAGGCCCTGCCCCAGCCCACCTGCCCCATATGCCGGCAAGCCATCAACAGGGTGGTGCCCCTCTACCAGGCATGAGGCCCAGCCAGGGAGAACAACAGACATCTGTGTTCTCATGGGTGCTGTAGGTATGTGTCCCCTGGGGTGTTGTTACCTGTACTATAGAAAGAAAAAGTGATTTTATAATTGCTGTTTTGGCTGGCTGTCACTAAGGCCTCTACAGAGAGGTGGAGGGAAATAGCAGGTGGATAACTGCACTGTGATGTCAACACAGTGGACACCCTGTAAATACACCTCCGGAGAGCTGAGGAGAGGCCTTACACACCCTAACTGGCTAGACCCTAACACACCCTAACTAGTTAGACCCTAACACACCCTAACTAGCTAGACCCTAACACACTCTAACTAGTTAGACCCTAACACACCCTAACTAGTTAGACCCTAACACACTCTAACTAGTTAGACCCTAACACACCCTAACTAGTTAGACCCTAACACACCCTAACTAGTTAGACCCTAACACACCCTAACTAGCTAGACCCTAACACACCCTAACTAGTTAGACCCTAACACACCCTAACTAGTTAGACCCTAACACACCCTAACTAGTTAGAACCTAACACACCCTAACTAGCTAGACCCTAACACACCCTAACTAGTTAGACCCTAACACACCCTAACTAGCTAGACCCTAACACACCCTAACTAGTTAGACCCTGACACACCCTAACTGGCTAGACCCTAACACACCCTAACTAGCTAGACCCTAACACACCCTAACTAGTTAGACCCTAACACACCCTAACTGGCTAGACCCTAACACACCCTAACTAGCTAGACCCTAACACACCCTAACTAGCTAGACCCTAACACACCCTAACTAGCTAGACCCTAACACACCCTAACTAGTTAGACCCTAACACACCCTAACTAGTTAGACCCTAACACACCCTAACTAGTTAACCCTAACACACCCTAACTAGTTAACCCTAACACACCCTAACTAGTTAACCCTAACACACCCTAACTAGTTAGACCCTAACACTCCCTAACTAGTTAGACCCTATCACACCCTAACTAGTTAACCCTAACACACCCTAACTAGTTAGACCCTAACACACCCTAACTAGTTAGACCCTAACACACCCTAACTAGTTAGACCCTATCACACCCTAACTAGTTAACCCTAACACACCCTAACTAGTTAGACCCTATCACACCCTAACTAGTTAACCCTAACACACCCTAACTAGTTAGACCCTAACACTCCCTAACTAGTTAGACCCTATCACACCCTAAGCTAGCTAGACAGAGCAGGACTTGTGCACACAAACACACATTAGTCCCATAAACCCCTCACAAAGGACACTGCAAAAATCAGCTGTTGAGTCTGTCGGAGAGATAGAGACCAACCCATGATACACCAGCTCTGTATTTATTAAACTGGACTAAAAGGGTTCTTGGCATACTTTAAACATAGACTAGATGTAGCTGCTGGTATGTACAAAATTAGAATTTGGGGTTTGTGAAAAATGTTAAATACATGCTGTATGTATTTATGAAGCTAACAGCCGTTCTGTTGAGTTTTGTTTTCGAATAGTAAATGCATGTTTACAGATACTGAGGAATGTAGTTCCCTTATCAATCTGCATATGTACAGAGATGGATGTTTATTTTCGTACTACTATTGCATGCTTTGTACCTTAATTGAATAATATGATTCATTGCTGCTGTAAGGAGTTACTGTATAAATTTGTGATGATAACCCAATGTGGAATAATATTTGTAATATATATACTACTGGTCAAAAGTTTTAGAACACCTACTCATTCAAGGGGTTTTCTTTATTTTTACTATTTTCTACATTGTAGAATAATAGTGAAGACATTAAAACTATGAAATAACACATATGGAATCATGTAGTAACCGAAAAAATGTTAAACAAATCTAAATATATTTGAGATTCTTTAAATAGCCACCCTTTGCCTTGATGACAGCTTTACACTCTTGGCATTCTCTCAACCAGCTTCACCTGGAATGCTTTTCCAACAGTCTTGAAGGAGTTCCCACATATGCTGAGCACTTGTTGGCTGCTTTTCCTTCACTCTGCCGTCCGACTCATCCCAAACCATCTCAATTTGGTTGAGGTCGGGGGATTGTGGAGGCCAGGTCATCTGATGCAGCACTCCATCACTCTCCTTCTTGGTAAAATAGCCCTTACACAGCCTGGAGGTGGGTTGGGTCATTGTCCTGTTGAAAAACAAATGATAGTCCCACTAAGCCCAAACCAGATGGGATGGCGTATCGCTGTGGTTAAGTGTGCCTTGAATTCTAAATAAATCACAGACAGTGTCACCAGCAAAGCATCCCCACACCATAACACCACCTCCTCCATGTTTTACAGTGGGAAATACACATGCGGAGATCATCTGTTCACCCACACCGCGTCTCACAAAGACACGGTGGTTGGAAACAAAAATCTCAAATTTGGACTCATCAGACCAAAGGACAGATTTCCACCGGTCTAATGTCCATTGCTTGTGTTTCTTGGCCCAAGCAAGTCTCTTATTATTATTGGTGTCCTTTAGTAGTGGTTTCTTAGCAGCAATTCGACCATGAAGGCCTGATTCACACAGTCTACTCTGAACAGTTGATGTTGAGATGTGTCTGTTACTTGAACTCTGTGAAGCATTTATTTGGGCTGCAATCTGAGGCTGGTAACTAATGAACTTATCCTCTGCAGCAGAGGTAACTCTGGGTCTTCCATTCCTGTGGCGGTCCTCATGAGAGCCAGTTTCATCATAGCGCTTGATGGTTCTTGCGACTGCACTTGAAGAAACTGTCCATATTGACTGACCTTCATGTCTTAAAGTAATGATGAACTGTCTTTTCTCTTTGCTTATTTGAGCTGTTCTTGCCATAATATGGACTTGGTCTTTTACCAAATAGGGCTATCTTCTGTATACCACCCCTACCTTGTCACAACACAACTGATTGGCTCAAACGCATTAAGAAGGAAATAAATTCCACAAATTAACTTTTAAGAAGGCACACCTGTTAATTTAAATGCATTCCAGGTGACTACCTCATGAAGCTGGCATTCTGCCAAGAGTGTGCAAAGCTGTCATCAAGACAAAGGGTGTTATTCTCTTGTCTTATCCGGTGTCCTATGTGAATTTAAGTATGCTCCCTCTAATTCTCTCTCTCTCCCTCTCTCCCTCCCATCCCAGAGGACCTGAGCCCTAGGACCATGCCTCAGGACTACCTGGCCTGATGACTCCTTGCTGTCCCCAGTCCACCTGTTCGTGCTGCTGCTCCAGTTTAAACTCTTCTGCCTGCGGCTATGGAACCCTGACCTGTTCACCGGACGTGCTACCTTGTCCCAGACCTGCTGTTTTCAACTCTCTCTCTCTACCGCACCTGCTATTTCAACCTCTAAATGCCCGGCTATGAAAAGCCAAGTGACATTTACTCCTGATGTACTGATCTGTTTCAACCTCTACAACCACTGTGATTATTATTTGACCCTGCTGGACATCTATGAACGTTTGAACATCTTGGATAAAAATCTGGCCTTAATGGCCATGTACTGTTATAATCTCCACCCAGCACAGCCAGAAGGGGACTGGCCACCCCTCAGAGCCTGGTTCCTCTCTTGGTTTCTTCCTAGGTTTCTGCCTTTCTAGGGAGTTTTTCCTAGCCACTGTGCGTCTACATCTGCATTGCTTGCTGTTTGGGGTTTTAGGCTGGGTTTCTGTATTGCACTTTGTGACATCTGCTGATGTAAAAAGGGCTTTATAAATACATTTGATTGATTGATACTTTGAAGAATCTCAAATATAAAATATTTTGATTTAACACCGTTTTGGTTTCTACATGATTCCATACGTGTTATTTCATAGTGTTGATTTCTTCACTATTATTCTACAATGTAGAAAATAGTACAAATAAAGAAAACCCTGGAATGAGTAGGTGTGTCCAAACATTTGACTGGTACTGTACATGTGTAAATATGAGCAGTTTATACACAGACCTTGAAATGAAACGTTACCAGAATATACATGCTATTCACTGCACTGTGCACATAATCCTGTCAATGTGAACTAAAGGACATCTCTAGGAAAGTGTTTCATCATTAAAGTGTCACTCCCTAAACCCTCACCAGCTACAGGGGTTCATGTCTTTCATTCATGTATGTTGTTATTACTTGTTGTATTTGGCCTAAATGTATCAGAATGTGGGAAGACACAGCCAATAGGAAACTAGGCTCTCTCTCAAGGTTGGTAGATGTGTTGGTTAATCACTTGACACCTTAATGACAGTATTATATCTGAAATGTAGGTGAAATCACACTTTAATGAAGAGTAGAGTGTAGGAGTTCATTTGTTCTCTCTCCTGGCTGTTCCAATTCACTCTGCTCTCCTGTCATATTGTTAGATGAATCTTTGACGAACACAATAGGAATATAATCATTAGAGGCTGTGGAATGCAAATGTATTTATGGCTTTAGGTTGACATCAAACAGATATTTTCCTGTATAAATGTAGGTCACTTCTGTCTGTTATTCACCGTTTGGCATCAATACACTGTCACTGAACAACAACATGGATGTGACGCAGCTGTCCAGCCGGATAAAGTTTTTGACGTTTGAATATCTTGATGAGCCTGCCACACAAAGTTTCCCAGACTCCCCTCAAGTTGAAGTGAAGCGCTGCTCTTTTTCCAGGAAGACAAATCTGTTGACAACGTCTGTACTCCGAGAAGTCTGCTGTTGTGAGTCAACCATCCTGCTATTTCTATTATCTATAACAAGCAGAGTGGAGGAGGGGGAAGAGGAATAGACAGAAAGCCACCTACAGAGTTTTTTGGCACTGATGAAACGGAAAAGACACTAACTTGCATGCGTGGGTTGGGTGAGGTAGAGGGGGGGGGGGGGGGCGTAAGGTAGAAGCGGCGTGTGTTGGGTTAGAAGGTGTCGTATATCTTCCTGGGGCGGTCGCGGAAAGGGGGGGGGGGGGTAATTTATCCACCTCGGAGATTTACAGAGAGACTGACAGACTGCTGGAAAACACCAACACGTCGTGATCTGAAGACTTTTAAATAATTTTTCAGAGTGGGAGGAACATATAATATTGATCACTTAC